TTTTTTTCTTCTTCGATGTAAACATCTGAGCTCGCGATCAATATGATATCATCATCACGCGTTAGTCATCCAAGTTGTTTTTAGTGCTTGCAAGAGTGCTAGAAAACACACGCACGCAGAAAGAGTGAGGACAATGAAAATACGCGAAAAAATCGATTTCGGACCGTCGAAATTGAGACAGACCTTGGCGGGCACTAAAAACAATGGCCTGGTAGGAAACCGCCGCTCCTTTCTTAATTACGCTGCCGACGGACACTTTCCATAAATAGCAAATAGGATTTACTGCAAATGCCCTTCCGCGTGTCGATAAAATTTAAAGCGAGCAGGGAGCTGGAGAGTTCCAGCTCTTCGACATTTCAACATTTCGGTTTCTTAGCTTTTGGGTTCGATCGAACTGATAGCTTTGGCATTGAAGCCTATTCTATCCTCTCATTCCTCTCGCCATGCTCCAATGACACAAGCGTTTCCCAGAAAAACACATTTCCCAAGTACAGAAAACGACAAAATGAATGAAACCCTTCAAAAATGGAAAATGGGGAAAAGATGGGAAGTTTCTGCCAAGCGCTCCAATTCCGGATAAATCAAAGGCCAAAGCATTGCTTTGGAATTGAATGGGCATGGGTCTGTGCAGTGTCCGCCCAGAGACCATTCACAGACAGCTGGCACCAACATGAATGTTTTCACCCCTCACAGCAGGCTTAAATCCATCTGCAGGGGTGGGACTTTTCACAGAGCAGAACCTTGGGAATTTAAGAACGCTGTTGACTTCCTTGGTCTTATTCTTTTGTGTCTTTGCCGTTAACCCGTCCCATTTTTGGGATTTGCCCCCGCACTAGATTCTATTCGAATCGCAACTACGTTTTAAATGCGTGTATAGCCTTACACAATTACTTGTAGTGGTCAACCGACGTACAAATCAACCGCAGTGTCGACCAATAAAGCGGTTTCTGCCTTAACAAACCTGTACGGCAGAACGGTGAAAAACATTATACAATATGCCCAGGTTTCAAGAAGACCGAACATGGAAGGTACAAATCAACGTTTTCACACTCCCAGACGAGACTATAGTCCACCGACAACCGAGACTTACAAAGTAACCATTAAAAATGAGTCGGGTTTCATCTACAGGCAGTTTTAGAGAGGTGTATAGGTTCATTTACTTGCTCGCTCGTTCTGTGAAAGGTTGGTCAACACTCACTTAGCGGAAAGTTCTTAGTACAATCACTAGGAAATCCTGCAGGTACACCATCCAACAGATGTTATCAAGAGGAACTATTCTCACAGTTGCTCTGAGGATTACCGCAGTCAGTAGTGTGGCCGAATTGTCGCTTGAGAACTGGTTTTGTGGGCAGAACTTAGTGACCAGAATGATATCATATAACTCTATGACTGGTCCTTGCTGGAAATATGCCGGTAGGTTGGAAATCACTTCGTTTGCTATCCAACTCTTTCGCTGGCATCAATCCCATGGAGCTTTCAGAACCGTCATATCTGACATTGAAGTAGAATGATCAATGGAGTCGTGTGTTCCCAAAAGTTAAGGGTGCAGGCGAAGAGAGTAAGCCAAGAATTAGGGGTTATTTGCAGAAAGGCGCGGGTGTGGGGAGCGCTCAATGAAGGATAGGCTCAATGCGAGAAATAATCGCTTGCGACCGAACACAATCTTCTAAGACGATGAGTGAGAGGTGAAGTGGAATAAGTGTAGAGACCACCAATGAGCAATGCCATGCTGACCACGAATGCGTCGCTCTATGCGACTGCCCATGGAGATTGCGAAGCGGAGTACACTCTATAAAAGAATCGAGCTCCAAAAAAGCAGATAACATATCCTAATTCATGGGAGATTGTTTCGTTTACCGACGTTCCACTTCTTGGACGTAAACAACCACTATAACTCGAACTTCTTCCAACTGCTACAACTTGTTAGTGCCGGCGAGCTCAATGGATGACATGCTTGTTGACCACGTGTAGGAAGCCACGACAAGATTCACACAGCGAATGCACTCACTTAATGTAATGTACTTAATCTTTGCTGTTTTGTCTACCTGTGCCAGCTTGTTCGAAAACTATTGACAGCAGAAAAAACGCACGAAAACCAACATCAACAACAGAAAAACGAGGCAGGTAAGTGCCGGACGCAGTGGACTGGAAAGAGAAGACAATGAACAGAAAGGAAGGACGTAAACCTCAAGGAAAGCAAGTTCAACAACCACAACTATTTCGTCTATCACTAAAAAAATGTGATCATGTCTATCGAAGTGGACCAGACGGCCTAAAGAAAAAGCTCTTCAAATGAGTACGAGTCCGTTATAATCCAAGGCAACCATCCAGGATATTCCCTACATCAGAAGTTTACTGCAACCAGTGCAGGTGTAGACCATCATAACGAACACTGACTTCATTGATTGGAAGAAATTCTGCCCGCGTAAGATCGATGCTTTCCACCCAGCGTTGCCAAGAACCCTAAGCATGACTTATCTGCAATAGTCACAGTCGATACCATTATAAATTCCTTTAGTATGCTCCTGGATTGCGCTTATCCAGTCTACTTAACAAAGGGGAGGGTAGAGAGGGAGGGGGGTGGGGCGAATATGTTTGATGATTTTCTAATAACTGAGTATCTTAACTTTGGAAAGTACAACAACCGTCTGACGCTGCTCCCACCCGAAGCAGGGATTTCACTAGAAAAAACACAGTCAAAACTCGGCACACGAAGAATTTTTCGCAATGTAACATTTTCTCAGCTATCTGACATGTACTGTGCCATACCTATTGCCCAGCCACCGGTCATTTACGGTAATAATGTGAAAATGGAATTTAGCTCGAGTGAATCACTGTTGCGCTCTTCACGACAACTGTTACGATTTACAATTGGGACGAGAAAACTGTGATCAAAACTTCTGTGACTGTTTAAAAGTAAGTATTAAAAAAAGATTAAGTAGTGTGAAAAGGGCCTCTCAAGAAACTACAAAGTCATCAAAAATTAGGGGTGGATAACTTCATAAAAGAGGACATTCTTGGGAAGATATAAGAGTAAGGGGGATTGGGTGCGATTTAGAGGGATGCACATGCAAGAACCTGCTAAATCGTGGGCAATTACTAAGAAATACCTTCAGAAATAGCCTATACATAAAAAGATAAAATGCAAAAAAGGGAAGATTAGACAGAATAACAGGAAAAAATCCGACAGAACTTTGTAGAGTTACGAATACAAAGAAATTTCTGCCGAGATATTGAGCCAAACACATAATTTTATAAAAAAAATAGAAAATAAACGGAAACGAAATGGAAACAAACAAAATCGTACCTGACAGTTCTGGAATTCAGCGTGCTACAGCTCCGGATACCTGTGCAGCGACTGAGTTGAAATGTCTCGCGATAAAAAAGGTCGGACAACAGGCGTATTTTGATGCTGCGTCATACGAAGGTGAGTCATTTATGCTCCTCTGAAGCTCTGAAACAGGATCAATGAAAACAATGATGTGGCGCACGGGATGTAGCACACCTCACACCAAAAGGACCTTCAGAAGCCGTCTGGATATTGACCCTTTGAGGCAATAACTTACCATGATGAAAAAGACGACGAGCAGAAGCGAAAATTCGTATTTTCGCAGGTTCTTCTCGTAGTCCAATATTGCTGGACCAACTATAATTCGTAAATAGTCGTACTGGAGGTACTGTAAGAAATTGGGTTTTGCAATGAATAATTCTACCTCCGTAACTATGTTCTTGCACAAATTTTCCGATCAGGCGCAAAATGATAACGCTCATCCGAGTTCCGAAGATAAGGTTACTAGAAGGGAATGATACCAGCTCTATTCATCATTGAGGACCGATAGCCGTTATATTAATCATTCAGAACCACCTAGTTTCGTGAAAATCGTTCCACACATCGATGGTGTAGAGAATGACTTCCTGCTGCTCTACCAAGAGTGTCCACAAGTAATGTGTGAGTAGTACATGATCGATGTTTCAAGGTCACAAATACTCTACGTTGACTATGCGAATGGCTTCAAACCAAATATCCTTCTCAAAAAAGGGGAACGAGTAGGGAAACAGAGCGTATGAGGTGCGGGATGGACCGCTCCACCTTGGTCACTGTCGCACCCATAGTTTTTGAGTAACAAAGAGGCTCTGTCTCCGCCAGTCCTTGCCTAATCTAATCAATAGTGCGTAGAGATGAAATAGTCTACTACTACTAGTTCGTCCTACTGTTTCCTGCTGATCAATCAGGCAAAACTACTGACAAGAAGGAACGGAGTCATGATCGCGAAAACGAATAATTTACATTTAAAATCCAAAACGAATTACAAATTCGATTTACAGTAACTATAAAGTCATGCTCATTAATAGCAAATATATGCATGAAAAACGAGGAGGAAAACTGTGAACAGAACCTATCTGAATGTGTGCAGCAAGCAGCCGACCTTCAAAATAGCCAACAATGTCGGGAAGCATCTCACCAAGTTCAACTCTCACTGAGTAAGCCAAACATATTTGCATGTTGGAAGGGGCCCGGATCCGGTTTCCTTGACAAAAAGCGCCTCGAGCATTGTCTGCCAGCCGTTTTCACCATTCAATTTCAGAAAGCAAGGCCATTCATCGGCGCGTACGAAGGGATATCGTAACAAAAAGTACCGAAACTACCGCTGAAGACAAGACCTCATCCACACCACCACATACGTTTCCTCCTATAATTACCAGTGAACACCACAGTCAACATGATCCTTTTACGTACGGCATGGGGGTAAGTTTTCTTCGAAAAAAAAAGTTTGATTGAGATATAAAACAAAATTTCGTATTCTATAAATCCACCTGCTACTAAAGATCCATTAGGAGATAAAAAAAAGTCTTGAAGACTTCACATGTGGAAATCAATAGCCCATGAGAAGTCCAGCATAGGGGGAGACGGGCGTTAGGGACGATTTTGGGTAATCGATTTGCCGCACGCGGCTGTCGCGGACCGCTCATTCGCCGTTATTACAGCTCTAGCGTTCTTCTTACAGCTCAATCGATATGCGATCATTATTTTATGCATAATTCTATATTAATACTTTTGTTCTTGTATTTCTTACCTACTGCTGCATCCTGCTACATTCCTTCGCGCGCGACGTTCCTCTCACCGCGACGCGACCATTTCGTTCCTAATGCACCACACCCCAGCATAGGACTCCCTAATTGCTATGCTTAGAACTATTCTCTCGCCACGACGAAGGCATACATGCAATGAGGCTTTTCAGACCCCCAGACAGAATTACCTAGCACATAGCCTAAGCCACAAATTTCAGGTTTTCCTCATTGTTGTCATTTTCCTAATAATATTGGCTTTTTATCTCAATTATGAAAGGAGTCAGGATTGTGTACGTCGTTTTACTTTTGCTATTGCGGACAATAGTCTTTTCGGAGTCTAACCAGTTGTGTACAGTATTCAGTGGGTACCAGACGAAGACGAATAAACGAAAAGCAAGAATAATGGGTACAAAGACATAAGAAGCAATCCATATCTATCATCCAAATGTGCCGAATTCAACAACCAATAAATGCTAAACAAAATTGAACTTATAAACAGATTTAGATGGAACNCAGACGAAGACGAATAAACGAAAAGCAAGAATAATGGGAACAGGGACATAAGAAGCAATCCATATCTATCATCCAAATGTGCTGAATTCAACAACCAATAAATGCTAAACAAAATTGAACTTATAAACAGATTTAGATGGAACATACCTTTTTGTCTTCATGATGTGGAAGAATTGCTTCCAGCGAACATCAGCTTTGAAATTCTCGATATCGCACACAACGCGAAATGGAGATTCAGGATCTGTCTGGTCTGCAGCGTAGCTTTTTCGTTAGCTGTAAGCACAAACAGGCAGAATGAGAAAAAGAGAAGTGCGTCACTGTCAATCACCCCGTAATGTACTGCTTACCATAGTTAATAGTTAGGGTGAAACTAATTGTAAGGTTCGAAGTAGAACGAGTAAGCATAGGGAGTATGAAAAACACCAAACTGTGACGGAAACGGATTCGAACTATGTACACTGCTTTAGTGCTCTTTTGCTCTGTGTAGATCTAATGGACCTAACAAACGACTACAAACTGTATACACATATCGGTAAGGAGAATATCTAGAGGAAAAACGCTAAAACAGCTAAAAATGGTAGTAACTGGGCGTTAGGTTCCATAATATGCCCATCTCTGCTCCACAGATGTGCAGCGGTCTTGCGTTGTTCCGCTTGCTCAACGAATGATACCCTTCAATGGTACACTTCGAAAATGGAAAGTGGGTAAGGATGGGAAGTTTTTGCCAAGCGCATCCAATCTCGAGTCAAATGCCAAAGCTTTGCTTGGTATTAAGTGAGCATAGGTTGCATTATCCGCCCAGAGACCATTCAGAGTCAGCTGGCACCAACATGAATGTTTTCATCCTTCACAGCAGGCTTAAATCCATGTGCAGGGGGTGGAATTTCACAGAGCAGAATCTTGGGAATTTAAGAACGCCGACGACTCCCTTGGTCTTAGTCTTCTGAGTCTTTGCTGCTAATCAGCCCCTTTTCTGGAAACCACCACCCACTTGGCACTTTATTTCCATTTAAAATCGTATCGACGTTTCGGTTAGTGGGTGGGTACAACGAATTGAGGTGGCCAGCCAATGCACAGGCCATAATGCATTTTTCTCCTCCCAGACGAAATTTGTATCAACTAAGCGACCGAGATTTCCAAAGCAACTATCAAAAATGAGTAGGGTTTTATCCTCTTGAAGTTTTACGGGGTGTATAAGCTCATTTACCTGTTCGTTCGCTCTAAGAAAGGTAGGTCAACTCTTACTCAGAGGAATTTCGTAGTACAATCACTAGGATACCGTGCAGGTACACCATTCAACAGATGTTATCAAGGGGAACTATTCTCACAGTTGCTCTGAGGATTACGGCAGTCAGTAGTATGGCTGAACTGTCGTTTGAGAACTGGTTTTGTGGGACCGACACAATGACCAGGATGATATCATATAACTCTATGTATCTGGATGCTGGTGGTTCTTGCTGGAAATATGCTGGTAGGTTGAAAATTACTACCTATTCCATTAGCATTTTTTCCATGAGGCTTCTAGAACCGCCAAACCTTACACTGCGGGCGTGAGCGAAGAGAGTAATCCAAAAATTAGGGCTTCGCTGAACTTTCGGTTGTCAAGATACCCCTTACTTCAAAGTTCAATGCAACTAGTGCATGTGGCGACGATCACCACGATCCATGACTTCCCATCCACATTCGATTTATTGATGAACTTTTCTAGTAAAGGCATATGCATCGACTCATTTTGATCGCCACTTGCATGGTCCTCTGTCGAATTTCGTGTTACGAAAAGTATCATTTGCTCCAAATAAGAAGGGGCTGGTTTGCCGATTATTATAACTTTGTCATGAAAAGTAGGGAAGCCCGCGTCAGCCGGGCGGCCCGACTGGACTGAAATATACGGTGCAATAACTATCGTCCAGCCATCGGACATTTACGGTAATAAGGTGAAACTGTATTTAGCTCGAGTGAATCACTGTTGCGCAATTCACGACAACTGTTATGGTTTACAATTGGGACGAGAAAACTGTGATCAAAACTTCTGTGATTGTTTACGAGTAAGTACTAAAAAAGACATTCAGTAAGCGTGTAAAGGGCTTCTCAAGAAGTTACGAAACCTTTGAAAAATTTCGGTGTATAAATCTAAAGAGGAGAAAATTCTCCAGGAAGATATGAGAGAAAAGATGATGCTCATAGTATTTAAAAGCCAAGGAATGAGAGGACGGAGCGCCCTGTCCTCATCATAGGTGCGGTTGAGAATGGATGTACAATACATGCAAGAGCCATTTAGTTGGCGGGCAACGTCTAAGTGATTCCTTCAGAAATAGCCTATCAATAGAAAGAAAAAAGGCACGATACGATATCGGCTGCAACAGCAGAGCAAAGATCCAATAAAACCAAGTAGAGCTAAGAATAATAAAGAGATTCCCGCCTAATCTTCACTATTTCTCAGCTAAAAACGGCTATAATGTTGAAAGATTGCGATCGCATGGGGCGGTAGCGCCTTCAAACTGCTTTTCAACAAACTAACCTTCNCGATATCGGCTGCAACAGCAGAGCAAAGATCCAATAAAACCAAGTAGAGCCAGGAATAATAAAGCGATTCCCGCCTAACCTTCACTATTTCTCAGCTAAAAACGGCTATAATGTTGAAAGATTGCGATCGCATGGGGCGGTAGCGCCTTCAAACTGCTGTTCAACAAACTAACCTTCAAGCACTCAGCTGTTTTGCCTTCATTCCTTTGCCTACTCAACGGTCAACACAATGTAGTAACTTAACTGTAACTTACCAGCCCTTCCCATCATTTACCCTCTTTCCTAAAGAACCCTTCTACTTATCAACTTGTATTAGCACCTTTCGGTAAGGGTTCCAGGACGCAAAACGTGCCGAATTTATGAGGCAAACACATATTCTTATAAAAAAACAAAAAAAAAAGAAATAAATGAAAAAGAAATGGAAACGAGCAAAATCTTACCTGAAAGCTTTGCAATTTAGCGTGCCACAGCTCCGGATATCTGTGCAGCGACTGTGTTGAAATGTCTCGCAACAATAGAGGGCGGACAGCAGGCGTATTTAGATTCTGCGACATACAAAGGTGAGTCAGTAATGCTCTGCATGAAGCTATGAAACAGGGTCAATGAAAATATTGATGTGGTGCGCGGGAAGTATATTCGCACTATGAGAAGGTTAATAAAAAACATTCGGGTAGGGGACGAAAGGCGCCTCTCTTCGACCAGATATTTACCTCTCACTTCCCAGTTATGCTTTTAAAAAACTTCTGGAAATCNAGTCAGTAATGCTCTGCATGAAGCTATGAAACAGAGTCAATGAAAATAATGATGTGGTGCACGGGAAGTATATTCGCACTATGAGAAGGTTAATAAAAAACATGCGGGTAGGGGACGAAAGGCGCCTCTCTTCGACCAGATTCTTACCTCTCACTTCCTGGTTATGCTTTTAAAAAACGTCTGGAAATCAACTCTCCGTCGCACTGGCTGCTTTCATGGTCCACGATTTGGCCCGCGAGCGAGCGAGCGATCGAGCAATTGGGGTGGCGCTTGCCCGTTGTATCGACCAAGATTCAATTGTAAACAATGGGCAAGCGCTGCCCCAATCGCTCGATCGTGGGCCAGATCGTGAACTATGAAAGCATCCACTGTCAAATCACGAGCAGAGAGACCATGAGCAGAAAATTTTTATGCATCCAAGTTCATAATCCAATCATGCTCGATTCGACTATTAGAATGGGACGTAACATTCACCCGGCTGGACGCGGCAAACTGCGCGGCGAAGTCTGTGGTGATCGAAGCGACTCCGGTGTCTATCATTGGGGCACAAGTTTGAAGCAGGGTAGATCAGCTGGCCCTACTTCCCCAATCTACTTGGAACCTGCGCCCCAATGATAGGCGCCAGCGCAGTAGGTGTACATTGAAAACTCAGACCTTACAGTGTGGATGGCACGGTCACACCGCTGGTGGAAAATTTGTGGACAAAGCGACATTAGAAAATGAGGGATAGAAAAATGAGCAGAGCCGCATCGAAGGAAAAAAACAAAAGACAACCGACCAATCACTATTGTAGACTTGCCTTACTCCTATTTGCAGATTTTTTAGTAGTTACGATTACTCAACCCTACCTTTAAAATCACTATGTCCACACACAAATTTCGCGAACACGCGCAAAATGAAAACGCGCATCATAGTCCCAAAGTTGAGACCACTACTAGGAGAGGATGATACCTGTCCTATTCATCACTGAGGACCGACAGCTGTTATATCAATCATTCAGAACCGCTTGACTTCGTGAAAATCGTTCCACTCATTAATGGCATAGAGAAGGAATTCCTGCTGCTCTACCAAGAATGTCCACAAGTAATGGGTGAGTAGCACCATATCGATACTTCAAGATCACAAAAACCCTGTCATTGACTACGCATATGATCCAGAATTAAATATTCTTCCCAAAAAAAGGAGAAGTGGCAGGAATACTGAGCGTACGAGCTCGCGTATGATGTGCGTGAAGGGCCGTGCCACCGGTTTCTCTTTAGCAACGAAGGGGCTCTACAACTCTCCATCAATTCTACATTGCAGCACGGTCTCCTGAAAGGACAAGTACAGGTCCGAGTCCCGTCCGAGACTGAAGTTTTGTCCATGAATCGCCAACCTTGCGAGACTTTCGGATCGCGTACTGCGGCGAAATAACAACAGTAAACAAAACATCAAGTCAAAACAAATTCTACATTGCTCAATCTAAACAATGGTATGGGAAGATGGCGGGAAGATGGAATGGCCTGCACTGAATTCGTCTTAGTGCTGACCAAACAGTCATACTATCGTCCAGAAGGTAAAAAACTAGTGTTGGAGAGGTCCCAGCCCAGCATATGAATGTGGGTCAGGACGTGCCACCACGGCAGCCTCGTCGAAGAAAGGTCTCTTCGCGCGGGGACCCTGGTCAAAAGTGTCACGATCCTTTACCATTTACAAATCAGAGAAAGGTTTTGACACGGTTAGCCGAGACTGCAGCATGCGCGGCGATCTAATTTAGTTGAGATGACGACGGTGGAGCGTCACGACGACCTGATGCATACGCATGCCAATTATTCTTTTCGTGATGTTGTCATGAATATTGTCGACATTTTCTGATTTTCCAAATCGAATGACAGATTCCATTTATAGAAACTATAAAGTCATGTTCACTGTTAACAAATATATGCATAAAAAATGAGGATGAAAACTGTGAACATCACCTATCTGAATGTGTGCAGCAAGCAGCCGACCTTCAAAATAGCCAACAATGTCGGGAAGCAACCCATCAAGCTCAACTGTCATTGAGTAAGCCAAACATATTTGCATGTTAGAAGGGATCCGAATCCGGTTTCCCTGACAAAAAGAGCCTCGAGCACTGTCTGCCAGTCGTTTTCATCACTCAACTTCAGAAAGCAAGACCATTCATCGATCCGATATCGAGAGGAAAAGTACCAGCACTACCGCTGAAGACAAGTCCTCAGCCACATCAACACGTGCGTCTCCTCGTATAATTACCAGTGAACACCACAACCAACATGATCCTTCTACGTCCAGCTTGGGGGTAGGTTTTCTTCGGAACAACGTTTGATCGAGGTACAAAACGAAAAATCGTACTCTATAAGTTTATGAGTTTGTTTTCCCCTTATCTGCTTGACAGTGGAGAACGACCTTACCGTTTTCACAATGAAATGCCATAGCTCCTCTCTTTTTGTTCACCAGTATCTCAACATGCTCATATTTCTGCTTATATCTCTGTCTTGACACTGTTCTAGTTCTCATCTTTAAACCTTGTTTTGTTGTGACGCTTTTCACTTATAAGTTGCTTATAGGCAAAATGAGACCCTAATTTCCAATTTATAACTTTTTTTTTCTGTGTGATTTATGGGCACACCCTTGAGGTGTATTTGAATAAATAAATAAATAAATAAGTACACACGCTACTAGAAATCCATTCATCGGCAGGTGCGAACGGGTATTGAAACGAAAAGTACCAAAACTACCGCTGAAGACAAGACCACAGCCACATCAACACCAGCGTTTCCTGGTATAATTACCAGTGGACAGCACGCCCCACTCCAATATAATCCTTTTACGTACGGCTTGGGGGTAAGTTTTCTTCGTAAACAACGTTTGATCAAATTACAAAACAAAAATTCCTACTTTATGCGTACACCCGCTACTAAGGACCCGTTTGGAGAAGAAAAATAGTTTCGGAGACTTCCCTAGCGGGAACCTAGTTCAGCTATTGCACTCGAGCCCTTCCATAGCCACGGACACAAACCACGAACACACACAACCATACAAACACATCCTCTCACACGCATGCATCCACTTATACCCGCACATGACAACAGTTACACATACTCGTACATACAGTCATAAATATACACATGTTAATATACACACATACACACAGATATACAAATACACAGGTACACACATGCACGCACATACACTCACACCCGCGTACGTACACACATCCACACGTCACGCACATACGCATAGATTTACAGGAATACATACCCATACACACATATACAAACATGCACATCCACGTACATATATAATATATACATGCAGTTGTGATATACAATGTGATGATGCTTAGTAACTGTTCTTTTGCCAGAAGAAGGCATACATGCACTGATATTTTTCAGGGGCCGTAAGGTATGCTCCCCCTCGTTTCAGGTCTCTCTTCTCTCTGCTCTCGGGGAAAGCAGAGAGAAGAGAGACCTGAAACGGGGCGTCCCAGCCCCGAACAGGAGAGCATACCCCAGGCTCCCATCAATTATTGGCATATCGCCTAAACTACGAATTTCAGGCCTTCCTCATTGTTGTCGCTCTCCTCATCATATTGGCTTTTTATCTCAATTTCGTGAGAAGTCAAGATCGTGTATGTTGTTTTACTGTGCTATAACGGACAGTACTTTTTCCGGAGCCTGTTATGTATAGTATTCAGCGCGCACAGGAGACAGAGGACGAAGAACAAGACGACTAAACGAAAAGCAAGAATAATGGGAAGAAGGACTTAAGAAGCAATCCATATCTATCATCCAAATGTGCGGAATTCAACAACCATGAAATGCTAAACAATAAATAAATAAATAGATGGACAAACAAAATTGAACTTATAAACAGATTCATATGAAACATACCTTTTTNTTGATTTTCCTTTTAGAACGAACCATGATTTCAAATTTACCTTCCCAGTCTTCTGGTTGTAAAAGTCCAAACAACTCATTNCGACTAAACGAAAAGCAAGAATAATGGGAAGAAGGACTTATGAAGCAATCCATATCTATCATCCAAATGTGCGGAATTCAACAACCATGAAATGCTAAACAATAAATAAATAAATAGATGGACAAACAAAATTGAACTTATAAACAGATTCATATGAAACATACCTTTTTGTCTTCATGATGTGGAGGAATTACTTTCAGCGGACAGCAGCTATGTCCGAATTTTTCAACGCCGTACATCACGCGAAAATAAGGGCCGGGATCTGTCTGGTGTGCAGCATAGTTTTCTCGTTAGCTGAAAGCAGAAACAGGCAGAATGGGGAAAGGAGGAAGGCGTCTCTGCCGATCACCACATAAGGTACTGCTTACCATGGTTAATAGTCACGGTAAACTAGTTGTAAGGTCCGAGTTAGAACGAGTAAACCTCCTGAGTATGAAAAACGGCAAACCGATACGGAGACGGATTCGAAATGTGTACATTGCTATATTGCCCTCCTGCTTTGTGTAGATCTAATGGACTTAATCAAGTATACACGTCTCAGTAAGGAGAATTTCTAGGGGAAGAACGCCAGAGGCGCTCAAAACTGGCAGTAACTAGGCGTTAGGTTCTTTTATATGGCTATCTCTGCTCCACACATGTGCAGCGGTCTTGTGTTGTTCCGCCTACTTAACGCCACATACTCTTGCACGTATCCGAACTGAGGACTCAAAGAATCTCTTATTCGACTTGGTAGACAGGTTAAGGAGCGGAAATCTAGGAGTGTAGTTAAAAACAAGGCTAGTATTGGAGCTACACTTACACTGTTACGACTGAGCATAAAATCCACGCATCAGCAATGGGTAGCCGACTGGAGGCAGCTTGAGGAACTAAACAAAACTGCTACGATAACGAAGGCCAAAAGATGTAAGCGTTTTTTCCTACCAACTGAGCAAGAGTTCGGAAGAACAAAAGCGTTGAGCCTCCAACCTATTTAAAACAGTAATAACGACATTGTAATTGAAAAATAGCCTGACCTTTCAAGGAGTAGAATAATTCAAATGGGAGGGGGGTGGGCGCTCCTTCATCAGAACACGTTATTAATAAAACCTTGAACGAGAGCGGCCATCAACTTTTGGCCGAATACCTTGCATTCATTTCGTTACATCGTCGTACATATCCCCTCACCAGCTGTCGTGCCTACTATACTTTCAAAGAGCGCGCGTTATACAAATAGGCACGCGACCGCGCGCGTGCTAGACATGTAAGACGCGTTTCGCTCATTTTATTCGGATATGAAATCGTTCCGCACGAAACCATTTCTTTCATAGCAAAACAGCAAACGTTCAAATGTTTATTAAGTGCTTTAGCACAACCGAGCTGATAAATGCTTTAGCTCGTATACATCATTTCTGGGGTATATGTCAGTATGTTTCCTTGAAACTGACGGTGAACTTCTTCAAACAAATCCGTCCACATTCGATCGATTAACTGTCGAACACTATGGCCACCGACGCATGAAGACAATGCACCACACTGTAACGCCTGAAACGACAAGCGAAGTATAAACCAGGTGCTAAGTAGCAATAAGTGATTAAGAGACTAACTTTCTCAGCAACTACCACATTAATATAGGCATACTGCCATGGGTTCATTACTGCTCGTGCACGTTTTTCTCGAAGTTTCTCTACAACTCCCTGAAATAAAACTGAATTGCTATGTGGCCGGAGTTCGCGATGGAGCGCGTTTGCTGAGTTTTGGCCCAACTTTCACGATGAGCAAAACACGGGTGTCTTCCAGGTGCCGGGAAACTATAACTCACTGACCAACCCCTCAGAGGAAATTCACGTTACCTTTATATTCACAGTGTTGTTCTGGTATAACTGTCTCAGAGCAACATCGAGAGCGATGAAAACTCCTGTGCGACCGAGACCAGCATGACAATGAACCAACAAGGAGGATGAGGATTGTGGCAGCTCCTGAAGTTGGATCTTGCACTTGATACGATTACACCAAACATTGGTTGCATGTTATACGAGAAAAACTACGGAAAATAGATGCAAAAGGGGAGGAGCGTGCCCCATGGCTACATGCTCCTTATTTATTGATTAGTTCTTTCGCTATTGAACTAAACCTATCTATGTCAGTATTATTAGCTAAACTCCATTCTATTCACGAATAAAACTCACTCTCTCCACGATATCGATAATTCGAAGCGCTGTGGCAGCATATGAAGCTGTAGTCACTGGCCATGGTATGGGTAAACATCCATCAGGCCACCTGAACAGTTTCATGTACAATTGAGAACATAGAGGTATGGGTCTATCAGTTAGCTAATGGCGGGCGCCATGAACCTTACACTCTATTAAAGGAAGAATCAATCATATGGGGGCACGTTTTGGCGTTGTAGAATGGGCGGAGCTGTCACGGAGAAAACAAAGGCAACTCGCACAAACGGGCGGGATCGCGATGACTGACGGGTGCCTGGCAAATACCAACCGGTAGTAACACATATGCACGATTTCTCTGTCCGGTTCGGGATCGCCAATAGGATTCGAATATGAAATTCGCAAATGTGTCACTCTATAAACCATGTCGTTTGGCTTTACGGCTCGAATACCAGGAGATATCTGAAAATGATGGCTTTCAGAAATCACGCCAAGTAAATGATCACACATTCCCTTTTCACTGATCAAATAGCTTTTCGTACGCCCTAGGGGCCCATTCGCGCATGCACACGCACGCAACCGCACGCGCATAATCAATCAATGAGAGACACTACTCATTACCATCATCCTTGTATCAATACATGTAATTTTAAACGGCATATAAGCAACTGTTTTTCCAATTTCGATCGGCCAATATTGGATGGTCTCTTTGGAAGGATCATATATTGCTGGATAAAGACGTTCTTCATGTGGGAAGTTCACCGATAAAATCCGTTCCACTTTCTCCTAAAAACTTTTTGGAATCCCAAATTCTGAGAAGTTCCTTTAGGGCAGCTTACCTGCCAAACCATACACCAAAAGTCAAACACACTGCTCATTGTAGGTCCTTCACTGGCCAGGTATTCGCCCTGATATAGCGGTCCGATACGTTGAGCATTGATCTTAAATTCCAAAGATTTCGTGGCAAAAATGATTGGATCAATAGCAATTTTGAGGCTAGGCAATGTATGTCACGGGAATGTAAAACAAAATTGCACCTGTCGTCACACGAATTCACTAAATTAAGATGCACAATTCATAATAAAAAGGTAAAAAGAATGAGATCATCTCTAAAACTGCCTGGCATGACAACGGAACAAGGGCGCATGAATGGTTTGAAAGGACGAGTATGGCCAGCAGGCGCCAGTGAGGCCACTGCGCGCGACACTATGTATGTCACGCCCCAAGGGACACGGCGCAGAGTAGGGTATGTGGCATTACGTGCGTCCGAACATGCGCGTAGCAAATTGCCCGGCGAAGTTCGTAACGATTCGAACGACTTTAGCGCCTATCATCGGGGCCAAATTTGAAGTAAAGTGGACTAGAACGATAATCTGACCCTACTAAACTACTCTTTTTTCCAGTTTGTGCCCCGAAAATTGGCGTCAGAGTCGTACAAGTGGTCACCGCGAATTTCGCCGCGCATGTTGCCGCGCGCGTCCTCGGCCGCACGCGGTGCACGTCCTCCCGCACAGTATGTCACCATCTGGTTTCGCGCGCGGCGACCGCTATGTAGCCTGCCAGCCCGTGTCCTTGCATGCATATGACATTAGGTTATTATTGGAGCATTATTGTCTTACTCATGTTGGGATACCGACAACGTGCAACTCGACCTTTGCCGCGAAACATAGCGTTAAGAGTCACACGATGTTTTGGCACTGGCAGCTAATCAATATATATTCACTGCGTAACGGACACTGCCTCATGTCGGTCGTCTACAGCCAATCAATACGTATATTTTACCCGAGCCGCAGCATGGAGAAGGTAACCTTTGCTCTTTCAGCAGCTTTCCACCGTATTTTCCTTACCTTCAGTTGGCGATTCGTGTTTCCTCCAAGTGGTGTCGCAATAAATGGATTTCCTTTGCCGTTCTGAGCTTCCCACGCACTCGATCCGCCATCTAGCGAGAAGAATTCTTCGCACAGCCCTCCATAGGCATTTTCAATTGAGAATCTTGTCAAAAACCAGCGATCCACCTGGAAAGAACGCGATTATCAGCTTTGAAGCCTGAGGCAGCCATGGGTCAGGAGGTCCTGTTGCAATTACCGCGTGCAGTGACCTGGTTCAGGGCGTCGTAGCCACTACGGCGTCCCCGACCCATTCCGACGGAACTTTTCTTCGGAGGCTACCCACCTTCATGTCTTGAGATGGCGTTTTCCCACCCACATCGGTGACAACGTGCTTCGTCCTGATTTCCTTCTCGCGTTCTCGTACACATCGAATAAGTCTATTTTCATGAAATCCACCCATTCTGAAATGAATGCTGTATTAGGGAATTCCCATATGAGAACTCGAACTGGCCTGAGAACAGTGAAGCACGCTCCCATGTATTAACAGATCAGGTGGGAAGAGACCACGTATGGGTCTCATTTCTCCAGGTTCCAGCTTCGCTGCGCACGAACTTGCCCGAGTTCGGTTGAGAAGTTGCAATGTGCAGTACCTGGGCGTAAGAAAACCGGTTCCGTCAGCCAAGTACCGTTGATTCTTTCTGAAAACGTCGGTCATGAAGCAGACTTGGTGGCAAGCTTAGGAGATTGCCAAAACATGTGAATAGTAAAATGGCTCTAACCTCACTGCAAGCAGTTTATATACCCTTTCACTGATAAGTGCATCGAGAATCAAGTCATTGATAGCGTCTGCATTACGATAGTAACGATCTCAGGCCTCTGACGGTGATGATCAACCATTTTATAGCTGACTGGTGGGGCGGTTGGCCCTATCATTTGGTACAGGAGTTTGTCTGCTCTGAAAATGCAGTAAAAACTCTTAAAAACGTATTAAACACGGATGAATCTGCTGTACAATATATCAGTAGCTAACATTCTGGAAAGAATGAATGGAATATGGCGTTCCGAACTTGTCCAAATTCACCCAGATGTAACCAGCGCCTCCTTAAAGGACGACAAGGTCGACGTGCTCTAATGCCAATGCGTACGGGTACGGTAGAAATACACGTAAACCTTTGGATCAATCGCCGACAACGAGACCATTTTGCGTTATTCGGGGTCGTCGTCATTATTCATTTCCTTTTAGGGTAGGTCAATTGAACATCTGAGGTCCTGATTTCACTTTGAAGTTCAACAATTTCTCTCTATTGGCTGCACTAACCAAGAAAAGCATGGTTACAATCTTCTTCTTATGAATTCGCCTGTTTTTGATTCCCTGTTCTCTGGAATCTCTTGACATATATTGGTACCAGTTAGTCGATTGGAGGGGGTGGGAAGCCTGGTCTGCATGCGAAAACCTAGTCTCGAGATTTTTCCACCGGATCATACAAATGGTGCTATCGATGCCATTTCCATTCAAAAATGCCTTATATATCCCTACATTTTGAGTCCTTGCCATATGTTCTTCGTTGCTTACCAGACTTCTTTCAAACTGCTTAATCCGAACTTTTTTTGTAAACATCGCAATTCTTTCAACAACCTTGTAAAATAGTGACATGTATTCGACGATATTCGATTTGTATTTCAGAGTTTGGGTACAGAATGTGGAATGGTGTAGTATTGTTTGCTTTTCTTACGTCCGTTGCTTCTGGCTATTATATTAATATCGATGCAAATGAAGAACAATGCTTTTTTGATCGTGTAATATCGGGAACAAAAATTGGACTCATGTTTGAAGTGGCAGAAGGAGGCTTTCTCGACATTGACGTTAAGGTAAGATTTTTATTTGCGTTGTCATGGAAAAGCCGGCGTTTTATTGAGGTTCTTTTGGGAAAGGTACAATTCCTAGTGGGAACTTTCAATAAAGTAAGCATGGGAAGATATTGAACCAAGTGAGAAAGAGGAGGTATAATTATATCTCAATGGGTTATTCAACGTGGTAAAAGGAGAAATATTCAAATCATAACATTCAGTCTGGTAACTCAATATAATACGCCTAATAGTCGATTAGGCTCCTTAGTAGAACCAAACTCTCCCTGGTGAATTGCTTCGGTCAAGAAATATTTTATATAGGGAACTTTATAAGCAGTAATTTCTTTGGCAAGTAATTCTTTCACTTCCTGGCTTTGGAGAGGTATTGGTACGCTAAACTATAATATTGAATTTTGACTAAGTTTTCACTAGAAGTAATTGGCAAAAAAAGTAGTTAAAAGTATTTATTTCTATATAAACACATTAATCAATATTTCGCATCATGTGCGCCTTCTTTGCAAAAGTTTTCTTAACGACAAGTCAGCTGTGTTGTAACATTCGATCACTGCCAACAACAGCAGTCTTGCTTCAAGCTGTAAATGAATATATTAAATATGACTCAGGCAAAACAACAAGCAGCTGGAGCTTTTGAAGTAGAATCTGCAAACGGTCTAGTTTTCTGTTCTGAAACTTATCCGGAAAAATCAATTAAGCGCCTAAGTTTGATTTTCCTTTTAGAACGAACCATGATTTCAAATTTCACCTTCCCAGTCTTCTGGTTGTAAAAGTCCAAACAGCTCATTTAAAAGTAACTTACAAGTATTTTATTTTGGAGTCTTTCCTTCATACAATTGCGCCATACCATTTTCCTTTGTTCATTATATAGTTGAAAAAGGTCCGATCAAAGCCAATTAGTTGAATATTTATAAGTGAACACGTCAACAAAAGCGCAAGTTTCCCCGTTTTGGACAGTTTTTTTTTTCAAGAAATGTAACTTACAAATTCACCTTCATGTTCAGATTACTGGACCAGATAACAAAGTAATTTACAAAGGTGAACGAGAATCCTCTGGTAAATACACTTTTGCTGCACATATGGATGGCGTCTACACATATTGCTTTGGAAATCAAATGAGCACCATGACACCTAAGGTATGAAAAAGATTTAGTGCATCTCTTTGACAGTTATGTTGTATTTGCTCTTTTTTCTTGAATTTTAACCTCGAAGTACTTTACTTTTTAACAACATTCGTTCAAAATCGGACATTTTTGTGATTTTTCACCAAATGTGGTTGGAACTTTGTTTTGCTACACGCTGCTGGAGGAACATTTTTGGGACCATTTCTCTCTCAACCAGTTAATGTCTGAAAGGCAATGAGTCAGTCCAAAAGCAGCTATCTTCATACATTTTCTTTGATTAATAAAACGTTTTATTTGCCATTATAAATCTATCCAGTCATTTATTACTTCCTCTATATACCTATTGACATAACATAGTTACTTACTACGAAATAGTGCTGCACCTAATCAAGACGCTGGTGAGGATTGTTGACTTACCTTTTCTTTTTCGAAGCTTTTTGTGGCCTTGTCAACAACAGTACGAATAGGACTCACCTATTTTTCTTATTTTTTTAGCTGATAATCAAAAATTGGAAGAAATGGTCCGTGAGTTGTCCACGGCGCTCATGTCTGTGAAGCACGAGCAAGAATACATGGAGGTTAGAGAGCGTGTGCATCGATCAAGTGAGTTCATTTCTGCTATCATTGAGCCAGAATTTACGTCATGAATTGTTAATAAGGGGTTCAAGTCGCTAGATTATTAAGTCGGGAATGTGAAACTAAACTTTGACTTCTGTCCCCCTTTCCCTGAAGCAGCGCTTAAAATCTGGGACATTTTTGTACAAGCCCAAGTAATGTAAACACTAGTTTTACCATCTTGTTTGACTCGAGGTCCTGCATAGTGTCAAATCTCATACTTATCACACTATTTACATTTGGAGGTTCCAAGAACTAGTTGTTTTCCCGTACAGCAGTCAGCAGCAGGAAACAATACATTGGTATTGAATAAAAAATACCCAAGTTAACATCTATATGTACAGACCCTAAAGAGAACCATTCCCGGGATATCGTCGCGCTACATTTGCAATCTACTGACTTAGTCTTATGAACTTACAAATACCACTCTTATTCCAAGAAAGCTGTACGTTGAGTGCTTGAGTAACCAAGCAATCAAATATGAGCATTGCAGTCAACGAGAACACGAACAGCCGAGTTGTTCTCTGGGCGGTATTCGAAGCATTGGTACTTGTTTCGATGACTGTTGGACAAATATGGTACCTCAAACGATTCTTTGAAGTACGCACAGTCGTGTAAGTCTTCAAACACCTTAGCTGATCAGACGATTCATCGAAGCCTTTACAAGCCAGATAGATCGTGTGCTCATTGAGAATAGTAAGAAGTGTCCACCGTATTTCTTTCTCGAATGATCCTCATTGATCGTTCATTGTTTTCTTCTACGTATAGATTGTGTGCGTCTTCCTCTCGTATTCCGTTTGGCCCGATATTGTTGCCTTATTCCTTTACGTATGAGAGTTTCACAGAGTTGAAATGATGACCTAGTTCTGGATTCGGTTGTTAACGTTACTAAAAATGTCAAAAATCGAATTCTCATTTCCAACGAAGCTTCCCTGGGGTTTTTTTTTNTTTTTTTTTGGTAGAATTTCGAAATTTTAATCACTAATGAGAGAAGGTTTCTTTTTTGTTCTAAAGGTTACGAGTTCTGTATATTTATTCGTCTCTGTGATGTTACAGTGTAATGTTGTTTCTGTTACAGTAAATTTTTTATTGATAACGTGGTGTAAGTGCAAGCTAAGCTTTGGGTAAGTTAAACAGTCACCCGCATCCCTTTGCGCATTGGCTAAACTCGAGCAAGGAAATTCGCAATTTCCTTTGATACTGATTGCCCTACTTCAAATAAAAACCTTCACGAAAGGACAAACTTCTCAGCGAATTCTTTTAAGACCTCACTAGCTCGTTCCCTTCCAATGCGATTGAGATTGTTCCACTCGGTGACATACATTAGTTTATCGTAGCCTTCGGAATCTCTCTGAGATTTGACGAGTACTGGCTTTATGTCGATTATTTCACATTTTGTACACCTAGAAACAGTTACAAATAAAAACTGCTACCGTATTTCATTTCGTGCTCTACCAAAGCCAAAATTAACGGGTTTGATTATTTGAGAGATAGCTAAGGACTGGGCTTGAGCTCTTGATCCTGGTGATCAGTTACGATGATCTCCGTTGATTTTACAATTGGGGCATCATTTTATTTCAGTGGTATAGATGTTGCCAATAAAAGTGAAATGAAACATAAGAGAGCGGATCATTCCACATGACGTTGAAAACTAAAACGATGTTCAGTGGAAACAAAGGGTAGCTTTGCAGTCCCTGATATCTCGGTTAATCTACAAGAAGGTTTTGAACGAAAGAACAAATGAGCTAGTTCTAAATTTTACGAAATGGAAGAGGTTAATAACTTAATCCTTACCGTTTTCCTAGTTTTTCGATGCGCTTGCGTGCAAAAGTGTCGTCGTTTACTATCATTCGTTCCTTCCGATCCTGAAACATATATTTGGATATAATATCGTTTTGTACAAATCGAAGGATTGTGGGCTCGCGAGAAGTGGACTGTGAGCCAAAAGGCGCAATCTTGAAAAGCATATCGAGATCTAGCTAGCTAACTATCTCGGCTGCGCGTGCGGCGTTTTTCCCCCTTTAGGTTTCTCGTGTGCCGAATGGTGCGATGTTGATACTGAATTACGAGGAGAACGCACCCATGTTGTACAACAAAAAGACCTGAAATACGACAACAGTACGTCCTGAACCATATAATGGACTTTGTGGGTAGCAACTAGGCACAATCGTCGTCGATGCGTCTAAATTTGATAGCCATGTGGGTGACGGACTTGTTCAGCTTTATTGACCCTCCACTTTTAACATGGAAAAGAAGGGCTCTATTGTGTGTAACCTAGGCTGACGCTCCTTGCATCGTCCCCTATCTCAGGCCCAGAAAATGTTCTTTGTATTCTTCAACGTTTTGTCTCTGAATTGAGGATAATTAAACGTTTAATCTCACTAATGGCTTAGGTACAGTCTTCTTCAGTCTATATCGTCTTTGTCGATTACGCCTTTTCGAAGGTACAGCTTGCAGAATGTAGACCTAAACATTCAATAATGAACACCCTTTTAAATATGGGAAGGAAAGCAGCAATGACCATTACTTATGACTTCAGGACCTTCTTGGCGACTTTTTCAAGTTTCTTCAACCTTGCCAACTGCTCCATGAATATATTGTCTTTATCTATGTTTGATACAATCGGTTTTTTAGACCCGATGTGTCTGAAATATGCACTACACGTATGCCTGAAATAAGCGGAAAAGGTGTCATTCAGAGTTTGCGTGGTACACAGCCGACGCGCCTTTGCGTTGGCTACGCCCCACTCAGCCATGCTCAAACCATGGTAATCGATCGCCCACAGGAGGAACAAGGCCAATGTGAAACGCATGTCGCCTTGTATCAAAGCAAACTCTAACCGCTGTCACAACGAGCAGCACTGACAATAAGATTAAAATATGTCTATGAGGCGGCTAACGTCAATTGGAAAAGGCAGCGAGCGATCTTACGCCTCACGGAAAATTTCCGCGAAAAATGAACAATTGCATACAGGATGGATATTGTTAATTAGATTGGTGCTTACCTTTGTAGCACAAAAATAACCTCCGGCTTCAATGTGTCCAGTACATCTGTATAGTTTACAGTAACATTACAGCTAGCTTCTTGATGCCGTACCATTACGTCGCATCCTAAATCGATTTCTTCATGAAGCTCCAACATTCATAATCGCCAGTCTCAGATATCAAGATTCGCGTTCATTGTTTTCGAGTGTAGATTTTGGGGAACCCTGTAGGTTCCCGAAATCGATACTTATTCTTCATAGCCTCTTCAAATCGAAGGAGAGGCTTGTCGCGCACTTGCAGATCGAGTAAGTGTCCAAGCCCCATTAACGACGCTAAATTCCCAAGCTAAAATAAAATCAGTAAAAAGAGAAAGTTCCAGCACAACCAAACGTTCCCACTTGATACTTTCGTCGCCATGGGAATATCGGTGGGACTTGCTCACCTACGGCTGACTCGCTTATAGAGTTCTACTACCAGGTGGCTTCAGAAGATCGCTCGCATTGACGCCTCCTGATGCTTGATGTTAACAGAACTCTACGATTGAGTCCCTCTTAGGTGAGCCAGGTAAGAAGTGAATG